CAATCCGCCCGCCTCGGCCTCCCAGAGAGCTAGGATTACAGGCATGAGCCACCGCGCCCGGCCTACACCAAGTTCTTAAACCAGGGGTGGAGGTACAGGGAGGTGGTCTATGAGTGGACTTCAAAGGCTGTGATCTCCTGGAAATCCTAAGAAAAACTGTATGCATGTGTGCATTTGTGGGGGGCAGGGAAGGGTGAAAGGATACAAGGATAAGCAAGAAGGAATAACCTGTCCAGGGGTGGGCGTCAGAGCAACTGTGAATCTCTTGTCATTTATTCATATACAACATGGTATGAGCATCTACAGTTTTCTAATGTAAATGGTTGATCCCATGGTTTACATTCTCAACTGGATGGTGACCTCTAAGAGGTTAAGAACCACTGGAATAAAGTAGGCTCCTGTGTTATTTATGGGGCCTGGGCAAGACTACAAATGGAGATTCTTCTTTTTTTTCTCACACCCAGTGTTGGCCCATCCCTCAAGGTGTCTCACATACTAGCCCGCACAGCCAAGCTCAGTCTACATGCCCCCCCATACAGGCAGGGCCTAGGGGGTGTACATCAGTCACCCAGTCCACTCTCATGAATATAGACCTGGGGTTGGGGCCTGTGTAGGCCCTGAAAGTGGGCTTAGAGTCATTTGGTCCAGGAAATACAGGGTTCTAGATTCTCAGAGCATGGTCTAGATGTGAGGTAACAGGGGAGCTCCAGGTAGGCACTTCCTAGATACCTTTGGACTCCTCAGCCCATGAGAAGGGACATGGCCAGAGATCAGAGTAGGGCCCTCTGCCCAGGTTTAAGTCAATACTCGTATTCAGTATTACTCTTGAAAAAGCCCCTATGAGGAAGCTGAGGCTCTTGGAAGCGTTAGCCCCATACGAGTGCCAAAGAAAAAGGCCATGCAATGTGAGGATGCAATGGAACCTGAGTTTCTGACTTCTAGTCTAGTTCTTTTCCCACTTAATCCACATATCACTTGTGCTATGATAGGGTTTCAAGAACCTAGATTCAGCTCACCTGGGTATGACTGTATCTGTTCTTGGGTTATACAGAGCATTGATTTAAGGGAAAAAAGGAACTAACTCACCCTGTGGTATCTCTTCTTTGGTATGTGTTGGATATACTTAACTAGAAAGAGTGAACATCTTTAAAGTTCATGTAAGATTTGGATAATTGGGCTTAATCTATATAAAATGCTACAGGGAATTTAACCTTAATTTGTGGAAAGAGATGTGTTCCTGGGAAGAGTGGCTAGTTAATAGATTTTTTTCTAAGTTGAATCTTGTTTTCAACTTGGCTTGGGAAGAGCCGATATTTAAAATAAGTGAGATAAAGGGAGAACATTTTTCATAAAACAAATAATCATCCCTCTAGTTGGCCTACTCTGATGGTTTAATTTTAATTCTAATATTTAAAGAGAATCTATATTTGTATTGCTGTGTTGACATTGTTACATCAAGCTGGATTGTGCCTGAAGGAGCTTGTATACAAGGATTTCTGGAAAGCTCTGATTTTGCCATCAGGGTGTGCACTGACACATTTTCCCCTTAGTGTCTCCTTGGTCAAGCCTATCAGTAAGAATAAAAAATATCAGATTTCAAACTTTATTCAGTAATAGGAGTATTAGAAAGGGCTGAGAGGCAGAAATCATACCTCCTTTTCCCACATATTGCTCTTCCAATTATGTTCTACCTAATCTCTCCTACCCACTCTACCCTCTGCCAGGATGCAGGCTTGAGTTCTCATAACCTATGGTTTCCTAGATCCTCCCCAGAGGAACAACCATGGATGATTCCTTGGGAAGTGGAAGGTGGGCAAGGTTTTTGAGACTAGGGAGGGGAGGCCTTTCAAGAACAGCAACAATTAGCAGTGTCCCTACCCTTCCAAGTCCAAGTGCTGTTTGCTTCCGCTTCTGCTGCGCTAAGTGCAGGATGGCTTGGGTTGTACCGTCAAAAATGTAGGGAGAAGCTAGACAAGTGCCTAGAGTGTCGCCAGCATGAGGGATACCCTTAGGTGGGGTAGACACCAAGTGGGAGGCAAGATGGGGTTTCCCATTCTTGGGGGCTTTTGTTCAATGGGGAGTCCCCTTGACCCTTGTCCTCCCTTTTAGGTTTCCCGAAAGCCCACTGCTGCTCCCTGTCAACTACATTTGACAGAGAATGCTGCCTGTTGAGCAGTCTCCAACTCTCTTGATCATCAATTTGCAAACCACACCAGCGGGGGGGCTGAGTCACAGACACATGATGTAGAGTTGGGAGGTGAGGGGATCACACTCCACTGGGTGATGATGTAACCTTCCAGACCCCTGTACCTTTCCCTCTATACCTGGGGCTTCTCCCTCATGGCTTTCCCCACTTATCCTTATCTTTAGAGACTGTGTATTTCTGCATTGGAGGAATGATGTTTCCCTCTGTGAACATATATATCAGAGTGATTGCTGCTTTCTATGTCTTTTATATGGGTGTCTAATGTGTCCCTGGGTGTGGTAGTGTGAGGAATTAGAAAGCTCAGAAATGGAAAATATTTAACGCTCAGAGTAGCAGATGAATACAGCTTGCACATTTGCATTTTCCCTTTCACTCTGACTCATCTTCCCCTCTCCTTACCCGATTGCCCCTCCGCCAGCCTCGCCCATTGACACACCCTGTCTGATCCAGGAAGGGTTAACACCTGCCTGCAGCCCAGCTAGAATGAGAAGGAAGCTAGGTTAGGTCTAGAAGGAGAGAATAAGAAGCGGGTTTGAACATTTTGGAGCCAAAGGGAGAAATGGCAGCTTAAAGACACAATATTTGGGTCTAGGAGGTGAAGCCCAGGGGGAAACAGACTATCCCTTGTCACCAAAGCAGCCTACCAGTACATGACTTGTTTATCTTCCAATTATCTGTTGTGCCTATATGATTCCAGGCATATATCATAAGTACTTTATCAGCATTTGTTGAATGAATGAAAAATATGCTACAGGATCAGGGATAACAGAATAGCAAGAAACAGAAAAAGAAACTTGAGTCTTTCATCCCTTCCTCAGATCAAAGAGTACTAAAGTGTGAAAAGAGGGGAAACCTCCGGGGACCTTGACTCCCTGGGCAGGAAATGAAAGAAACCTCTGAGTCCTGATTTCAGAGAAATGTCATTTGTCATCGGCCCAAGAAAAGGAGGTTTTCTCTTCGAAGACCACCGCAGGCTGTTCTGGGGTTGCCCCCTTCAGAGCTTGATGGGAGGATCTGAGTCACTTACACACCCAGTCCCCGATGGTGGCCCAGATGACAGGGGTCATTACCACAGAGTAAATGAGGCTTCCTAGTAGCAAGTCAGGGAGAGGGAGGAGGCATGCTTTTGGTCCTTTTTTACCCTGTCTTTGGAATCCAGATGTTTCAGTCCTTTCTACTGCTGAGGCAGTAGAAACAGCTTCCAGCTACTAGTGCTCTACTGTCACCTCTAAGAAACAAAACTATACCATTTGATTGGTGCTAGGTACTTACAAACCACTTTCGCGTTCGTCCTGTCAGTTCATCTCCTCCAAATGAGAGATTATTCCTCTTTCATGAAAGAGGTAACTGAGGCTCAGAGAGGTGACTTGCCCAAGGTCACTCAACTGGTAAATGGCAGAGATAAAACTCAAATGCAGGTCTGATTATTCCAAAGTCCTTGTTGCTACAGATGTAGTTCTTTGACTCTAGGAGTTCACAAACCAAGTAAGAGACAGGAGGTTAGGAGGCAGAATACCTGGGTTCTGGAAATAGAGGGGGCGGTCTCTCCTACAGGCATAAAGCAGAGCCAGGGTTATAAAACCACACCCCCTTGGGGGACTGGGGCAGACTGATACTTGGGACATCCAATGGAGGACTGTGAGGTCATGGGCGGGGCTAACTCCAGGGTGAGGGGGGGCCTAGAGCCCCAAAAGCAGTTCAGAGCATGCGGTGTCCAGGAGGAAGCTACAACGGGTGAGTGGTTGCTTCTTCCCAGCTGAAGCTTTCTCCCCACCACAGCTTTCTGTCCACTCCTTGCCAACCTGTATCCCTTTCCCTGAGGTGTCCCCGTAGTATCCCTCCCTCTCACAAGGTCCTTGTTCACAGTGAGCCTGCACCTAGGAACATGCCTGCTAAGGGCTAAGACACTTAGGTTCTCTATCTGGGTTCCCAGTTCTCTTCTTCAAAGCCAATGTGGTAGTTTGGATGTGTGGTAAACTCCTGCCATGTTGGGTTCTGTGTTCCTATTCTTCATATTTTGTCTTATGAAAAACAAAATTAAATCATCTCCTTATTCTAATCTTGAAAGGAAATAGCCTCCCTTGCTACAGTTTGCATTTCCCTTTCTCCTACTTCCTTGGGGCCAATTCTCCAAAAGCCTTCTCTCCTGTGGCTTCTGCACCTGCTTTCTTAATTCACTGGAGGGGAATCTTTGTCTTTTCTCTGAAGATGTGTTCTAGAAGCTTCAGTTTCAGGGCAATGATTGATTGATACCCCAGAGCCTGCCCTCCTGCAGCCATGACCCCTGTCTTGCTGTCTTCCTGCCTTTCAGGCATGATGGGCTTGTTGGGGGAGGACCCACTAGCTTTCAAAGCTCTCCCATGAAGCTGTGTCTTGCTCCATCCCTAAATGCTAGGGTTGACTGGGTTTCATGGTGATCCCTTTGTCTGGAATGAGGACAGCCTGGCTTGCTCAGAGGTCTTTCCCTGCAGAGGTGCTTGGAGAAGCAAAAGTATCAGTGTCTGCCATCCTTTAAGTCAGAGACTGCCAGTGGGCAGGCCCTGTCTATATTTGTCTTAAACGCTCTGCTTGATAGTTTTGTTAACTGCCTGTCTTGCTCTTTAAGTCCTGAATTTGGTCTAATTTCCATTCTCCCACCACCATGGCCACCCCTGGCTGCTGTTACGATTCTGGATAAGCTCAGGTCCTCTGTTGGGTTAGTTTATTTGCTCACTCAGGACAAAGGTCTCTGATCTAGAACCAGCAACTCACTCTTTCTCCCCTCACCTCTGCAGGTTTGAGAATATGCTGTTCCTCCCTCGCCTTTACTTGACGGACCCCACATTGTTGCCTTTCTCTTAGAGCCTCTGAGATTGGTTCCTAGGCTAGGCATAATGCCCCTGCCTCCCATAAGACTGCCCAGCCCCTACGGCTCTGATCGGCTGGTACGGCTAGCAGCCAGGCTCCGGCCCGCGCTCTGTGATACCCTGATCACCGTGGGGAGCCAGGAGTTCCCAGTCCACAGCCTGGTGCTAGCAGGTGTAAGCCAGCAGCTGGGCCACAGGGGCCAGTGGGCTCTGGTAGAAGGCATCAGCCCTTCCACCTTTGCCCAGCTTCTACATTTCGTTTATGGAGAGAGTGTAGAGCTGCAGCCTGGGGAGCTGGGGACCCTTGAGGAGGCGGCCAGGGCCTTGGGAGTACAGTCCCTGGAGGAGGCATGCAGAAGGGCTCGAAGGGACAGGGCTGAAGAAGAGCTGGATCCAGGGCTGAAGAAACATCAGGAGGAGCCAGAGAAACCCACAAGGGATTCTGAGAGAGGACTGGGGAGGCTTGGAGAGAAGCAGGAACCAGAGAAGTTTTTTAGAACTGGTGAGACAGAACAGGAGATGTTGCACAAGCACAAGCCACCGAGAGAGAGCCCTGAGATGGCAGGGGCCATGAGGGAGGATCAGGGGGAGCAAATGAGATCAAAGGAGGAGAAACTCAGCCAATCCCCTGTTTGCCACGGGGCAGCAGATGGGAAGCGAGGAGTGGTCATGTGGGTGAGGGAGAGTCCAGGGGGCTCTGAGGAAAGTCTGCGGGAGTTCCCTGGCCCCCTTCCCCTACCAAGTTCCTTCCAAACCAGCATCATCCCCAGGCCCTGGTGGGCTGAGGCCCCTTGGTTGGGGGAGAGCCAGCCTGCCCTGTGGAGCATCCTGTTGTTGCCGCCCAGATATGGCACTCCCTTCTCCCATAGCACCCCCACCACTGGAGCCTGGCAGGAGGTCTGGCCTCAGGACCAGAGGTGAGTGAAGGATCTAGGAAAAGGCCTCCAGGCTGGGAGGGAGTGGCTCAGGAGAGGCAGCTGTGAGGGGTGGAAAGGCGCCACATCTCTATCTCTACTGTACGTTCCTGAGCTGGGGATGCGGCAAGAATCTCCTGCCACAGGAAGCCAAAGCCTAGCCCTTGAGGACTCAGGACACCCCCCTCTTCAGGAAAGGGCCAGGCTCCCAGGTTCTGCCAAGGCTATAACTCTTTCCCACCCCACCTCCAGGATCCCACTGGCCCTGAACCTCCCCAAAGGGCTCTGGAGCCAGAACCAGTTGGCCTCCTCCAGCCCCACCCCAGGTAAGCCCCTTGCTGTCCTGCATACACGCTGTAACATGGTCTGTCCTCTGGGGCTGGGGCTCCAGGAGTCCAGCCTGAGCAGGGCCCCTGCCTCATTCTGCTTCCTCCAGGTTCCTTCTCCCAGGGCCCCACACAGCTCAGCCCTGGGGAGATGGAAGAGTCTGATCAGGGGCACACAGGTGAGTAGGGTGAGGGCACTTTTGCCTCAGCCCCACTGTAGCCCCTGGTTACTTGTCTGGGTGTTACAATGATTCGGCTCTGGGATTCCTGGCCTTGCCCTCCTTTGACTTCTCTGTCCCCACAGGAGCACTTGCAACCTGTGTGGGTAATGAGGGTACAGCAGGCCACCCATCTCACCAACACCCTCCCCCAGCCCCTTCTGCTCGGTCTCGGCCCTATGCTTGCTCTGTCTGTGGGAAGAGGTTTTCACTCAAGCATCAGATGGAGACGCACCACCGAGTCCACACAGGTATGGGTGCCGTGCCTGGTGTGAACTGCCTGCTTCCTTCCCGACTCCAGTCTGCCCAACTCCGGCGCCATTCCCTCACCTGGTTGCCCAATCTACCTCTAGCTTGGGCAGCCTTTGCTCCCTTCTTCCTTCCTTCACTGACCTCCCCCTCTGCCCGCCCTAGGAGAGAAGCCCTTCTCCTGTAGCCTTTGTCCTCAGCGCTCCCGGGACTTCTCTGCCATGAGCAAGCACCTGCGGACGCACGGCGCCGCTCCCTATCGCTGCCCTCTGTGCAGGGCCGGCTGCCCCAGCCTGGCCTCCATGCAGGCGCACATGCGAGGCCACTCGCCCAGCCAGCTCCCGCCCGGATGGACCATTCGCTCCACCTTCCTCTACTCCTCCTCCTCCTCAAGGCCATCGCGGGCCTCGACCTCTCCCTGTTGTCCCTCCTCCTCCACCACCTGACGAGGTGTCGGTAGCTTCTTTGGGCTCAGCCAAGATTCCAAGTAAAGAATGAGAATCGGGCCAGCTCGGCTTCTGACCCGGCACTGCTGCTGCGGCAGCTTAGCAAACTCGGCCCCAGAAGTGCCTCAGGAAGGCGGCTGAGAGCTCTCTCCCGGACAACCGCGGGTCGCAGACCCTTGGGCCAGCGAGCCCCTTTAGGTTGAGGGCTCTTAAGTTTACATGAGTTAAGGTTAACTGTACGGGGACGGTCGGTTTCATCACCATAATAAAGAGATTCCTGTGCTCTCCTTCCAAGACTAGAAAGCCGAGTTTAGTCTGTGCGCGGGGGTCCCCCAGCCTTGCCCCTTGTCCTGTAGCGGCCCCTTGTGGCTATGCGTCCGCCGTTCAGTGGGGTGGACACTTCCTCTGTTCCCCTGGACGCCCCGTCCTCTCCCAGGGACAGCCTGCCGCAAGGGCTCGGTGTTCAGGCAAACTTCGCAGCAGGCCCTGGGATGGTGGGGGCTGTGAGACCCCGAGTGACTCGCCCCTTCCACAGCAATCCGCGGCGCGCGAAGTCTGAGCTGGGCGGGCCCTGCCAGTGGCTGGAGGGAAAGCATGCTTCCGCCCTGTTTTCGGTCACCTGCCTCCTCTCCTTGAGCACCGAGATCGCGGCCTCTCCAGCATCTTCCCTCCGCGCCGAGCAGAACGGCGGCCGGGACGCGCTTGGAACCGAGACTACCCCTTCGCCGCCGCCCCTTCCCAACCCACGCCTCCCGCAGTAGCGAACTGCACTTCCCAGTCTCTCCTGCGTTCCCAGGGCCGCAGCCCGCTGCAGCCTGGGAGTGGTAGTCGATGCGGGCTGCTGGCTCCGACAGAAACAATAGCAGTAGTCTGGGACGAGGACCACACGTCCCGGAGGCCCGAGAATTGGCTTTCCGGGTCCTGCTCTGGGCCCCAGCGCTCGCGCCCTGCTCCCGGCGGAAGGAGCAAGGCGTCTGGACTACATTTCCCGGGGGCCCCTGCGCCTCGGCCCGCTCTGGCCGCGACGCGGGGTCTATGCTCTTCAGGAGCGGTCTAGGGGCGACGGCTGACCGGCTGCGGACTTCGGCTCCCGTGGTGCCCCGCGCGCGGCCGGGCCAGCCCCCGGCTCCCGCCGGCCCCGCGGCGGCGCTGCTTGTTGTCGTGAGCCGCACCGCCTCTCCCCGCCCCGCCTCTCCCTCCCCTCCCCCCGGCCCT